CCCTTCAAGTATTGGAACACAGCTATCATGTCACCCCTAGTCCTTCCTTTCACTAGAGGATTCATTCCCAATTACTGCAACCCACTAATTATCCCTACTGCTCTTCTCTGCGCTCTTTATAGAGTCTGGACGCCTTTTTTATATTGTGGTGATGAAAAGTGGTTACAGTAATCCAAGTGTGATCTTAATCAGAGCATTATAAATTGGTACTAAAACTTCATGTGATATCGATTCTATCCCTCTGTTTAGGCAGCCAGAGTTTCTCAGGCTTCTTGAGTTGTTTTCCCGTTTAAGATTTTCATCCATGGAATCCTTCCCAAGCTGTCTCTTGGTTTGTTAAAATCAGCTGCTTTAAAGTCTAAGACATTAGTTTGATTTGCTCTATTGCTTGTGTCTGCATTATATTGAATTCCAGTATGACATGGTCACTCTTCCCCCTATTTATCTGCAACTTCACACCCCCCCCCTTATAATTTCCTCTCTACTAGTAAAAATTTAGATCACTATAGGAGATCCTTAGTTCCCTTTTCTACCTTTTGGATGACAAGATGTCATTTAGATTCATGAGGAACCTTTTAAGACAGGGGTGAGAAACTGGTGGCCCATAGGCTGGATGCGTGACATGCAGGCCACACCCACCCCAGCTCCACAAATGGGTAGAATGTCATGTGACGGCAACATGACATGGCAAGTTTGACACTCGTGCTTTAAGACAAGATTGGCCAGCCATTTGTCTGGAATGTTATAGGGTATCCTGCCTGAGAAGGAGATTGGACTTGAAGACCTCCAAGGTCCCTTCCAACTCATAACCTATTCTGTTAATGGCAGTGGTTCTCAACCTTCCTAATGCCGTGACCCTTTAATACAGTTCCTCATGTTGTCGTGACTCCCAACCAGGGGTGGGTTCTAAATTTTTTTATGACCGGTTCTGTGGGCATGGCTTAATTTGTGGGCGTGGCTTGGAGGTCATGTGATTGGGTGGGCGTGGCTAGCTGGTCATGTGACCGGGTGGCCATGGCTATGTGTATAGGGACTACTCAGAGGGCTGAAAAAAGTCATTTCTGATAGGTCCTCGCACTTTTGACTGGTCCTCACACTTATGACCATCCTCACATTTATGCCCGTGCAGCATTCTTAACAACTATGTCATTCATTTCACAACTGCTTCTCTTCACCATGGTGATAAGATAGGGCAAAAAACGTAAAATGTGAGGATAGCCGTAAATTCGAGATCTAGTCAAAAGTGCGAGGACCAGTCAAAAATAACTTTTTCAGCCCTCTGAGTAGTCCATGTGCACAAAAGGACTACCCAGAGGGCTGAAAAAAGTGATTTCTAACAGGTCCTCGCACTTTTGACCGGTCTTCGCACTTATGACTGGTCATAATTTATGCCCATTGTAGCATTCTTAACAACCGTGTCACTCATTTCACAACTGTTTCTCTTCACCATGGTGACAAGATAGGGCAAAAACGTAAAATGTGAGGACAGTCGTAAATTTGAGGACTGGTGCGAGGACCAGTCAAAAATAACTTTTTCAGCCCTATGAACAGTCCATAAGGATAAAAGGATACAGCAATAGAGAGGGATGAAGGAAGGGAAGGGAAATTAGAGTAGGAGGGAGGGTAAGAGAGGGAGGAAGAGAGGAGGAGAAGGAGAAAGGAAGAGGAAGTAGGGAGGAGAAGAAGAGGGGGAGGAAGAGAAAGTAAGAAGGAAAGAAAAGAGAGAGGTGGTAGGTTTGAGGAGAAAGATTGCTGTACAATAAAAAAGATGAAAGGGAAGAAAACGAACTCCAAACAAATATAAAGATATTAAGATAAAGAATGAATTGTTAAACTTTAAAGAATAAAAGAGAACAAATATGAATAAATAGCAATAATTAGAAACACACAGACAAACATACAATGTATTTTCTTTGAACAGAGTATTTGGCTGGTTCACAAATTTAAACAGTGTTTAATCATTTCAATTAAATTTACAATTTCTATATTTCCTTTTTGCCATATTTATTCCTCATCTATTTTTTTAAAAAAACAATATTACCCTTCATCCTCATCTCTAATCTTAATCAAATTCAATTTTTCCCTTCTATTCTATATTATACCCCTTTGCATTGTCATCTATTTTTATATCCGTCCTCACATTGGTTAATTATGTAATTATGTAATACAGTTGTTTAATACAAATTCAGCATTTTAATATAAATCAATTAATTATATAACTATCTTTTTTGTATATTAATCAATATGAACATGAATATTCCAATTATTTCCATGCAATCCAATTTCTTACAAATCAATTAATTATATTTACCAATAATAATAAACCAAATAATTTCCCCCATATATTCCTCCAAACCACAACTTAACCATTTCTGCTTTCAATACAATATAGAATTAATAGTATCTCAATTATTACAATTCCCTAGTTAAAAAGAGCTTTTTTTCTTTTGTGTTTTAAAATCTTGAACCTCCTCTTTTGCCCTAAATTTCCCATTGTTTGCAGTTTTGCACCTACCTTTTTTGGTGAGGAAAAAGAAAAAGAAATCTCTCTCTGCCTCATTTTGTCACGTTGCAGCAAAGACCCTGCTTTACTTTCAGTTTCGATTTTTCAGCATAGCTGGGGGGCGGGGGAAATCTGCTCCAGGAATTTACCTCTTTGCAGCTAGCTAGCAAGAGAGCCCTCTGCAAAGCAGCTGAGAGCAAGTCAGCTGAGAGTCAGGAGGCTGATCAAATCAATTTATGGTAATTAACCTATGCGTAAGCTGAAAGGGGCTGTTTTTTTCTATTTTTGCAAGCACCGGTCTACTAATTTGTTTTCTTTTAACACTGATTAGCTGTAGGGCAGCCCTTTGAAGCCCCGCGGCAAGAATTTAAACAGTTTTTTTTCCCTCTAGCCATCCCTCTGAGCTGGGACTCAGGAGGCAGTAATAGATTGGGAATGGGCGGGTAAGCGACCGGCGACCGGCGATCCAACAGAGGCAGAGGGTGAGGGTGAGTGAAGGCGTGGGGGGGGCGAGAGAGGGCTTTGGCGACCCCTGTGAAATGGCCGTTCTACCCCCAAAGGGGTCGCGACCCCCAGGTTGAAAACCGCTGTGTTACGGGCTTGCTATTCTCTTGGCAACCAAATTGCACTGATTCTGCCACTAGTCTTTTTCTAGGGTTTATGTTTTTTAACTTCCAGGTCTTGCCAAAAGGACGATAATTCCTATTGGTGCCACATCCAGGTATTAATCAGGTTCAACTGGTTTTACCGTATTTTTTGGACTATAAGACATACCTAAATTTAGAAGAGGAAAACAACCCCCAAAAAAGTTTTTGGCCTATCTTTTTTCGGACCTTTTCCAGTCTTTTTTCAGCCTGTTTCTGGGGCTATTTTCGGCCCATTTTGGGTCCTTTTTTCAACTCGTTTTTGAGGCTTTTTTCGGCCTGTTTCTGGGGCTTTTTGATCCATTTTTGAGGCTTTTTCCCCGTTTATGAGGCTTTTGGGGGGCTGTTTTTTGAGGCTTTTTGGCCCATTTTTGAGGTTTTTGGGGGCCATTGTCGAGGCTTTTTTGCCCGCTTTTCAGGGGCTGTTTTTGAGGCTTTTTTGGTCAATTTTTGAGGCTTTTTTTGGCCCATTTTCCAAAAAAACATTCCTGTGGTTATGAAGGTGCAGGAAAAGGAGAGACACCACCTTGGGTTCTGCCAACCGTTGCACATTTATGATGGCTGCAGCATCCCACACTCAGGATCCCCGTTTGTGACCTTCTCAGCTAGATTCTGAAGTAAAATTAGTAGGGATGCCAGCAGGAAATTGCAAGTTGCAGTTTGTAGAACAGATGCAAGTTGGCACTGTCATGTGACATCATGCTTCCTGACCGGCTGCTTAAGGACACAGAAGCCAGTCCCAACTGCACTCAGTAAGTCAGGATTGCTTGAATTGGGATGCCACCAGAAGGGGTTGTAGACAGCATTTTCTTCTCTTATCTGCAGCTGAGGACTTTCATGAGCAAAACTGGGGCTTCAAATCTTGCAGAGGCTTTCGGCATCATTTCCTCAGTTCAAATGCCACATCTCTAAATTTAGCTCAGAAGGTCTGACATTAACCATTTTGGGACATTTTGTCAGGCTGAAAACTCATGGAGCTTCCACATATATCATTTGTAGGTGTTTGTATCTGTATTTCTTTCTGTATGCATATATCTGCAATTATATAATCTATCCTCAGTACATCCAGATATATTTGAGGATAACCCTTTGCAGTGCCAAGAATTTATGATTGACCCAAGTCAACAACATAATTTCATGGTTGAATAGATATCTGGGTACTCTTCCATGTGTCACATGAATCATAATTAATGTAAGAGATTATTCTGGCATTGTGGCATGTTTGCTTTTTTGTTGTAATGTATACTTTTTTCACATCTTCTGCAACCATTTTATACACAACTAAAGTTACACTTTTCTTTGAAACTTATAGACAAAGAGGATGTCAATAAGAGCACTCTGGACAACTGAGAATAACAAGCAACGTTGAAAAGGAAATAAAATTGAGCCAGAAATCAAAATATACTCCAGTTCCTTCAGAAAACCACACAATTCTCCTTCTCCAGCAGCTAATAGACAAAAGAGAGAAAATTAACATGAGATTTTGAGCTGGAAAAAGTAGAGGATACGAAACTCAAGGATACATTGCATGAAAGATCAAGGAAGATTATTTTTCACTCAGAAAAAGATGGAAATAGCTGGAAGTTAGGGGGAAGTAAAAGGTCTTATTGGGCAGGGCACATAGGACATACAATGATACAGGCCTTGCTCTGGGAAGAAGCAAACGGCTTTAATCAAAACATCACTAAAAAATAGATCACATATATTTTTGACCTCAAGAATATCAGTTGTGAAAAAGCTCCATAGATCTGCCTATTGTAGGAAAAGCACAGATTGCAGATCATAGCTGATTAAACAAGAAGATCCCAACTGCAGAAAAGCCATACAAATTATCTGAATATGCCAAAAAGTTTGGTCAGCTTCCTTGTGGTTCATGGAACGAATCACACAGGAGAGAAGCCATACGAGTGCTCCTGATGTGAATACTTTAGTGACATGGCAACATGGTAATACATCACAGGACACCCATCACGTAAGAGTGTCCAAATTGTGTGAAAGTATCATTGGAAATTACCATCTCATGAGACAACAAAGGACTCACACAGGAGAGAAACCCTTTCAATGTCCTGATTGTGGGAAAAGGTTCAGTCAGAATTGCAGCCTGGTGACACACCAGAGGATTCACACAGGAGAGAAAACATTTGAATGTCCTTTCTGTGGGAAAGGTTTCAGTCACAATTCCAGTCTGCTGGCACATCAGAGAACTCACACAGGTGAGAAACCATTTGAATGTCCTATCTGTGGGAAATGTTTCAGTCACAATTCCAGCCTGCTGGCACATCAGAGAACTCACACAGGTGAGAAACCATTTGAATGTCCTATCTGTGGGAAATGTTTCAGTCACAATTCCAGCCTGCTGGCACACCAGAGGATTCACACAGGAGAGAAACCATTTGAATGTCCTGATTGTGGGAAAAGTTTCAGTCACAATTTCAGCCTGGTGACACACCAGAGGACACACACAGGAGAGAAACCATTTGAATGTCCTGATTGTGGGAAATGTTTCAGTCACAATTCCAGCCTGTTGACACACCAGAGGACTCACACAGGAGAGAAACCATTTGAATGTCCTGATTGTGGGAAAAGGTTCAGTAAAAATTCCAATCTGGTGACACACCAGAAGACTCACACAGGAGAGAAATCCTTTCAATGTCCTGATTGTGGGAAACGTTTCAGTCAGAATTCCAGCCTGGTGACACACCAGAGGACTCATACAGGAGAAAAACCATTTGAATGTCCTGATTGTGAGAAAAGGTTCAGTAACAATTTCAGCCTGGTGACACACCAGAGGACACACACAGGAGAGAAACCATTTGAATGTCCTGTTTGTGGGAAAAGTTTCAGTCACAATTTCAGCCTGGTGACACACCAGAGGACACACACAGGAGAGAAACCATTTGAATGTCCTGATTGTGGGAAATGTTTCAGTCACAATTCCAGCCTGTTGACACACCAGAGGACTCACACAGGAGAGAAACCATTTGAATGTCCTGATTGTGGGAAAAGGTTCAGTAAAAATTCCAATCTGGTGACACACCAGAAGACTCACACAGGAGAGAAATCCTTTCAATGTCCTGATTGTGGGAAACGTTTCAGTCAGAATTCCAGCCTGGTGGCACACCAGAAGACTCATACAGGAGAGAAACCCTTTGAATGTCCTGATTGTGGGAAAAGTTTCCGTAACAATTTCAGCCTGGTGACACACCAAAGGACTCACACAGGAGAGAAACCATTTGAATGTCCTAATTGTGGGAAAAGTTTCAGTCACAATTCCAGCCTGGTGACACACCAAAGGACTCACACAGGAGAGAAACCATTTGAATGTCCTGATTGTGGGAAAAGGTTCAGTAACAATTCCCACCTGGTGACACACCAGAAGACTCACACAGGGGAGAAATCCTTTCAATGTCCTGACTGTGGGAAAAGTTTCAGTCAGAATTGCAGCCTGGTGACACACCAGAGGACCCACACAGGAGAGAAACCATTTGAATGTGCTGATTGTGGGAAAAGGTTCAGTAATAATTCCAATCTGGTGACACACCAGAAGATTCACACAGGAGAGAAATCCTTTCAATGTCCTGATTGTGGGAAAAGTTTCAGTCAGAATTATAAACTGGTGAGACACCAGAGGACTCATACAGGAGAAAAACCCTTTGAATGTTGTATCTGTGGGAAAAGTTTTAGTGATAATTCCAGCCTGGTGAGACACCAGAGGACTCACACAGGAGAGAAACCATACGAGTGCCCAGACTGTGGGAAAGATTTCAGTACCAACACTAGCCTTTTAAATCATGTGCTTATACACACAGGAGAAACCATTTAAGTGCCCCAAGTATGGACGGTGCTTCAGGAAACATTCCACCCTTATTGAACACAAGAAAATGCACATGGATTTTCCAAAGTGATGAGTGATGACCTAAAGTGATGAGTGTAAAGGCTTGAATTTTAAGTTTTAAGCTGAGAAATTGACTCTTCAATTTGACCAGAAAGAATTTGCTTGATTGTTTTTGTCATCAAATATGTCATAGTATTAGATGGGAAGGAGGAAAGAAAAAATTGGAACATGTTAGTTCGATAATGGCTGTCTGGCTGGCCATCAGCAGCAGAAGTTGCTGGGTATTTATTTCTGCAGAAATTGTGCAATTCTGCAAAAATCATTTTAGGAGTGTTCTCTGCATTTTTATCATAATAAATGATAGAAATGCCACATGCAGAGTACCAGCCTTTTTCTCCCTGGGTATCCTTGAGATTTTCCACCCCAGAATTTCCCAGGCAGCATCTCTTCGGGATAAAAGCGCTCAGGCTGTAGTTAGAGGTTGTGGGTCCTCATGGAAGAAGAAAACAAGAGGAAAGAGAAATAGTTTATCTTTTCCTAACAATTCATTGCACCAAGCATGTCTGCTCAGATTGTAAATGAGGCACGTAAGTGGAAGAAACCATATGAATAGCAAATATATTGGGGGAATTTGGGGCAGTGACAAAAGCAGTGTAAAATTTCAGATGCAAAGGCTACTCTGCCTTGCATGTGACCTTCATGGAGAAGAGCTGTAGGAATATTGAGTTGAGGAAAGTGATTGTGTTTTTGAGTACAGGATCTCCAGGTTCATTCGCAACTCCTGTTGTGATCTCCTTCGCTTGGAGGTTCCTCCTTGTTAGTCTTTGATGGCTGGGAGGTGTGAGCAGAACCAAGGGATTTTTACTTTTGTGGTTCCCCCCTTGGTAGGGAAATGTGAGGGGGAAAATTGTACAGTAGATGTTTCATTTCTAAAACAGCATTGCATAAGACTCATGAATAGATTTTGAGGTGGGGAAAGGAAAGTGTCAGCATTTCTGCAAACATTGGGACAATGTAATGCAAAGCTCTCTTCCCAACACATGGGAGACCTTTCCTGTTCTTTCATTTCTCTGACAGGACTCCTTAAAGTGTCAGCATTTCTGTAAACATTGGGACAATGTAATGCAACTTTGTTGAGTGAGGGTTACTTCCCCGCTGCCTTGAAAGAGGCGGTGGTGAGGCCTCTCCTCAAGAAGCTGTCCCTGGATCCGGCAATATTGGCCAACTATCGTCCTGTCTCCAACCTTCACTTCATGGCAAAGGTTGTTGAGAGTGTGGTCACGCGACAGTTTCCACAATTCCTGGAAGAAACATCTTATCTAGATCCGTTCCAGTCGGGTTTCAGGTCTGGGCACAGCACGGAAACGGCATTGGTCGCGTTGGTTGATGATCTCTGGAGGGCTCGGGACAGGGGTTGCTCCTCTGTTCTGGTCCTGTTAGATCTCTCAGCGGCTTTTGATACCATCGACCATGGTATCATGCTGCACCGGCTGGAAGAGTTGGGGGTGGGAGGCACCGTGTTGCAGTGGTTCTCCTCCTTTCTCTCCGACCGGTCGCAGTTTGTGTTGGCAGGGGGGCAGAGGTCGACCTCGAGGCCTCTCATCTGTGGAGTGCCGCAGGGATCGGTCCTCTCGCCCCTTCTGTTCAACATTTATGTGAAGCCGCTGGGCGAGATCATCCGTGGCTTTGGGGTGAGATACCACCAGTACGCTGATGACACCCAGCTGTACATCTCCACCCCAGGCCACCCCAATGATGCCCTTGAAGTGATGTCCCAGTGCCTGGAGGCTGTGCGGATCTGGATGGGGAGGAACAGGCTCAAGCTCAACCCAAGACTGAGTGGCTGTGGCTCCCGGCATCCCGATATAGTCAGTTGACTCCATCACTGACTATTGGGGGCGAGTCTTTGGCCCCCACTGAAAAGGCTCGCAATCTGGGAGTCCTCCTGGATATGCAGCTGTCCTTGGAGGAACACCTGACAGCTGTAACCAGGGGGACCTTTTGTCAGGTTCGCCTGATTCGCCAGTTGCAGCCCTTTCTTGATCGGGATTCCCTGTGCACAGTCACTCACGCCCTCGTCACCTCTCGCCTTGACTACTGCAACGCTCTCTACATGGGGCTCCCCTTGAAGAGCACCCAGAGGCTCCAACTGGTCCAGAACGCAGCAGCAGGGGTAGTGATGGGAGCAGCATGGCGCTCCCATGTAACACTGCTCCTGCGCGAGCTGCGCTGGTTCCCGGTGGTCTTCCGGGTGTGCTTCAAGGTGTTGGTCATCACCTTTAAAGTGCTCCATGGCATAGGGCCTAGCTATCTTCGAGACTGCCTGCTGCTACCGACGACCTCCCATCAACCCGTGCGCTCCCACAGAGAGGGCCTCCTCAGGGTGCCATCAGCCAAACAATGTAGGCTGGTGACCCCCAGGGGGAGGGCCTTCTCTGTGGGGGCACCTACCCTCTGGAATCAGTTGCCCCCAGAGATAAGGAGAATCCAAGACCTCAGTGCCTTCCGCCATGCCCTAAAAACCCACTTTTTCCAGCAAGCCGGGCTGGCTTAAGAAGAAATTTTTAAATGTTTAATTGGTTTGTGATTTTTAATTTTTGGGCCAAATTTATATATATTTTAATTGTTTTTTAATATTTGTATTTCATGTTCTTAATTCTGGCTGTATACCGCCCTGAGTCCTCAGGGAGAAGGGCAGTATATAAATTGTAAATAAAATTAAATAATAAAATAAATAAAAAGCTCTCTTCCGAACACCTGGGAGATCTTTCCTGTTCTTTCACTTCTCTCCCAGGACTCCTTAATTTGTTTAAAAAATTCCTTCAATTAAAGGGGAACATTATTTGTAGCAGTGAAAGTGATATGTTAGCTATACAGATGGATTATCCTGATTTTGCTGGGATTGGAAGACACCAAAGAATTCCAAGATCTTTCATTTCACCCACAAGATTCAAAAAGACAGGTTACAATGTTTTTTAGTAGGTCACATTGCATCTGATCCCTTTGAAGGATACTCGGTGACAAGGAGCAGATCAGGACTGGCATGTGGAGAAACCAAGATGTAACTCAATAGTCTGTCTGGATAATCACTGGGGACTTTCCATGACTGAGAATAGGATAGGATTGAATGGAAATGAATTCTTTATTGGCCAAGTGTGATTGGACACAAGGAATTTGTCTTTGGTGCATATGCTCTCACTGTACATAAAAAGACAAGATACATGATAGTCATAGGGTACAAATAAGTAATCAAATCATAGTAGGAAACAATATAAATCATAAGGATACAAGCAACAAAGTAACAGTCATACAGTCATAAGTGGGAGGAGATGGGTGATAGGAACAATGGGACGATTAATTGTAATAGTAATTCAGACTTAGTAAATAGTTTGACAGTGTTGAGGGAATTATTTGTTTAGCAGAGTGATGACATTCAGGAAAAAACTTCTTGTGTCTAGTTGTTCTGGTGTGCAGTGCTCTATAGTGTTGTTTTGAGGGTAGGAGTTGAAACAGTTTAGAGGTCTGTAAATATTTTCACAGCCCTCTTTTTGACTCCTGCAGTATGCAGGTCCTCAATGGAAGGCAGGTTGGTAGTAATTGTTTTTTCTGCAGTTCTAATTATCCTCTGAAGTCTGTGTCTGTCTTGTTGGGTTGCAGAACCAAACCAGACAGTTATGATGACAGACTCAATAATTCCTTTTTAGAACTGTATCAGCAGTTCCTTGGGCAGTTTAAGCTTCCTGGGTTGACGCAGAAAGAACATTCTTTGTTGTGCTTTTTTGATGACGTTTTTGATGTTAGGTGTCCATTTTAGGTCTTGAGATATGATAGAATCTAGAAATTTGAAGGTCTCTACTGTTGATACTGTGTTGTCTAGTATTGTATGAGGTGGAAGTATGGGAGGATTTCTCCTAAAGTCTACCACCATTTCTACTGTTTTGAGTGTGTTCAGTTCCAGATTGTTCCGGTCACACCACAAGGCTAGTTGTTCAACCTCCCGTCTGTATGCAGATTCATCATTGTCTCGAATGAGACCAATCTCTGTTATATCATCTGCAAACTTCAGTAGTTTAAGAGATGGATCATTTGAGATGTAGTCATTGGTATATAGAGAGAAGAGAAATGGGGAGAGCACAAATCCTTGGGGGGGGGCCCTGTGCTAATTGTACAGGTATCTGATGTGATTCTGCTTAGCTTCACCTGCTGCTTCCGGTCTGTTAGGAAACTTATGATCCACTTACAAGGGTGTTCAGGTACCGCTAGCTGGTTTAGTTTAGTTAGGCGTATGTCCAGAATGATGGTATTGAATGCTGAACTAAAGTCTATAAAGGGGACCCTTGCGTAGGTCTTTGGAGATTTAAGATGTTGTAGGATGTAGTGCAGGGCCATATTAACAGTATCATCTGTCAATCTATATGAGTGGAGAACACAAACTATCTCCTTGCTCCTAGCCCAGCACTGTCATCCACTCTATCAAATTTAAATATGTGCAAAATTTCTGAAATTTAAAATAGTAAAATGTTTAATATGCTTAATATTAACTGATTGTTTTCCTTTTTCTCTTTCCTTGGTGTCGTATTTTAGTGCACATCTTTATCATGTCTCATTTTATTATGGTTAGACATTGGAAACCCTTCCAATGATCCCAAAGCCTCTGAATCTCTCTCAGGGCTATATAAAAATATCAAGCAAAATTAAATAAAGCCAACCTAAGAATCAGAGGGGATGGTCTATATGTCAGGGATTCAATAACAGACCCAACGAAATCAAAATTCCGAGGCCTGAACTCTCCTCAAAGTAATTGTTATTAGGAATGTCATATTGGCACACTACAATTTCCCCGTTATCTCTACCTCTCCCCTCACATTCCCACAGCAGCAACCAGCCTTGCTATGGCAGCCCTGACGATTTCCAAAATGGTTTCAGGGCTGACAGGCTGCCCCCACTCAGCCGAGAAGGAACTTCTAAAAGAGAAAAATCAGAGGTTAACCATTTTCACCTTCAACACACGCCCCCCCAGGTGGCCCCTTGGCTTAACTAGGATATTTGTCATGAAACTGTTTAATCAATCTGTCTGCCTTTACATCCCAGGTCTTAACCCAGGTAGCTTCAGATAAGGGGTATCCCTTCCAGCGGACTAGGTATTGCAAGTGACCCTGCTGTAAATGAGTCTAAGATCCTTTTTACCTCATAATGGGTTTCCCCTTGTACTAAAATAGGCATTGGGGCGGCCCAGTGTACTGGTGTTAGCTGAGAGCTTGCTGCGGTTTTTAGCAAGCTGCTATGGAACACTGAGTGCACTTTCCCTAACAAGCATTTTGAGTCTAAGCTGAACAGTAACAGGATTTTTCACTATCGGGAAAGGCCCTCTGAACTTAGGACCTAATTTTCTGCTGGGCAGTTTGAGTTTTAGATACTTTGTTGGCAAGTACACTTTGGCTCTGATCTGCAGCTCCTCAGTGAACCGTTTCTTCAGCATTTTGAATGCCTGCTGACAATCCAGGGACCATGCCAGTGACTGACTGGGCCGCGGTTTAGAGGCATCACCACCACCCCACCCCACCCCGTCTTCAACAGTTCTGTCAGGGGCAGTGTCACTTTTGCAAAAGCTGGGATGAACTGCCTGTAGAAGTTGGCAAATCCCAGGAAACTCTGAAGCTGTTTACTGGTGTGTGGGTGTTGCCAATCTAGCACCATTTTCACTTTTCCCGGGTCCATTTTGATTTCTTCATTTGACACTCGGTAATCCAGGTAGTCTAGGGACATCTTGTGGAACTCACATTTTGACAGCTTAGCATATAGTTTAGCTGCTAGGAGTTTCTTTAGGACTTGGCGCACTAGTTTAATGTGCTCGTATAGTTTTCACTGAATATGAGAATGTCATCCAAATAGACTAGGACACCCTGATAAAGATGCTCATGTAACACCTCATTAATTAGCTGCATAAAGACTGGGGGCTCCCTGTAGGCCAAATGGCATTACTTTGAACTGGAAACTGCCCAGCGGGCAGTTAAAGACTGTTTTCCACTCATCTCCTTCCTTGATCTGCACCCGGTAGTAAACCTCTCTCAAGTATAGCTTGGTAAACACCTTCCCCTTTGCCAAGTGGCTTAGCATGTCCTTCATTAAGGACAGGGGGTAGGTGTTTTCTACTGACACTGCATTTAGATCTCTAAAATCAACTCAAAGCCTCATCAACCCATATTTTTTTTGTTTGAAAAGCACCGGGGTAGCCACTCTAGACTTGGCCCATTGGATGAACCCCCTCACCAGGTTGGGGTCGATGTATTTTCTCAGCTCGTCCATCTCCCTAGGAGTCATGGAATACATTTTTGGCTTGGGCAATTTAGCCCCTGGTACAAATTCTATAGCACAGTTGGTGGGTCGGTTGGGGGGGTAGGGTGTTGCACTGTTGTTCACTGAAGGTGGCAGCCAAGTCCCGGTACTCTGGGAATTTGGGGACAGTCCGGTGGCGAGTCAGTGATGGCTGCCACTTTTTCACTGGGCCTGGGGATGTGTGGCGGTGCCACCGGGTGAGCCTTGTCATCAGGGCAGGGTGGCAACGGTCCTATCCCATCTTCAGCTTCCTATAGCCATCTTCCCACGTGATGGCAGGGCCCTACTTGTCCAGCCATGCTAGGCCCAGGATGATGGCACCACTATTAAGCGGATGAACTCCCAATCACGGTCCATTTGAAGCCTCATTGGTTCAGTGACCAGGGTGGCTGGGACACTGCCTATTAGTGTCCCATCATCTTGCTCGAAGTGCATGGGCCGTGCCAGGGGTATCGTGCTCATTCCTAGTCTGGACCGTGGGGAGGATGATCAAGCATCTGGTGCACCCAGTGTCTAAGATGGCCTCTATTTCCCCTTGGGCTCCTGTCCTGGGCACCATTATTTGCGACCTTATGGTGAAGGGGCAGATGGCCTCACCATCAGATCATCTTCGCTGCTCTCATTGCTGTTGCTTCCCCCCCCCTTTTCAGGAGAGGTGGGAACCTCAATGGCCTTCCTGGCGAATTGCCCCTTGTCCGCTGACTTGCATGGGGTTCTCTTCACTTTAGGTCCTGCCAGAGTCCAGACTTGGGGGGACAGGTGCCAGGGCTAGGCACTTGGATGCTCAGTGACCTTGATGGCTGCATTTGAAGCACTTGATGGCCACAGGCAAGGTCTGCCTGGGCTCTTCCAGCTGCCTCATGGTGGTGTGGCAGCCCAAAACCCTTTTTTGGTTTTTTAGTTTTTTGCTCTGGTGCAGTTTTTTGCTTTCGGTGGACATTCAGTACCATTCTTGTATGCACTCAGAAAGCCCTCGGAAGGTGCAGGCTTGGCGGTGGTCCTAGTCCAGGGCCTCCTTGAAGTGATGGACCAGGAGGTGTTCTGGCTAGTCTCTCCGTTTTCCCGCCACTCTTCGGAATTCCAATACTAACTCCTTCACGGGGCGGCCCTTTTGCTTGACGTCTTTAATCTCAGCCTCTGCCTCTTGCCCCTGGATTGTATCTTCGAACCAGGGCCTTAGTAGTTGCAGGAATTTGTCGGCATCCTCGAGTTCAGGGGTCTCCTCGTCATGCAATTGGGCCACCCACTTGGCTCTGACCTGCAGCTCCTCAGTGAACCGTTCCTTCAGAATTTCAAATACTGGGCCACAAGTTGGGCCATCCACTTGGCCGCTTTGCCCTTCATGTTGTCAGCAATGGCCGAGATCATTTTGTCAGCCCTGGAGCCCATCTTTTTCTTTGGATCTTCAGGGCTGCCACATTTAGTGCTGAGGAGGGGGGGTTGCATGGAGTTGGTGGAGATATATAGTCATAACAACATTCTTTGCTCTGGGAGTCAAGGACATTCAGCCTGCACTTGAAGCGGTGTAACTGGGGAACATCGGGATGGTGGATTGATTGGGCCATGTGATGGACATGTGGGTGCAGGGGAAGGAATTTTGACTTTTCCTTGGGTGGGGAAAATGTGGGGGCTTTCAGATTCAGGTTTTCCCAGATGTGCCAATATGACATCTCTAATAAAATGAAACTTTGAGGAACTGCTGGCCTCGGAGTCTTACTTGGGTGGGGGATATTCCTTGAAACCTTGACATATTTGTTGATCAGATTGGTACTGGGCTCCATAGTGATTGAGGTGGGACCAAATCCGGTTCACGAAGTACGCTAGCTTTTCAGGACTCCCATCAAAAGTGGCTCTGAAGCAGTGGGTGGGACTGTCAGCAGTGTTGGTAGTGGCTGACCTGAGACCAGATGGAGAACGGGGGCTGGCAGGCTGGCATCCATTGGCACTGGATCCACTCCTGTCCAGTGTAGTATGCCCAGCCCAGAGGGATCTGGTCCACCGGTGGCAGACTAAGGAGAGACTGGCGAGGTGGACTACCTGGCCTTGGTAGACCATGGCCCCTTGTTGCGGGCCTGGCTGTTGGCTGACAACTGTCACTGGTTGAGCTGTCATTTTGGTAGATCAGGCCCAACAAGGGAGGCTTAGGAGCCATCTGCTCAGCACTGAGTGAAAGGAGGAGGAAATCCCACTCTGAGTGGTCACATTCCCCTGGCCAGGAAAGGTGAAGGTCGGCTGGGCCAGGACCATGACAGGCTGGCTGGCTGGGGGTTGCTGGCCCAAGCAGCTGATGCTCGGCTGGCCAAATCTCTCTGGCAGCCCCTCCAGGATTTGGCTCTTTTTTAAAAAAGTTTTATTGGATTTTTATTTTTAAACATATATCAACATGTTAATACAAATAGCAACAGTCAATTGTTTGTTTGTTTGTTTGTTTGTTTGTTTGTTTGTTTATTTTTTATACTGCCCTTCTCCCGAAGGACTCAGGACAGTGAACAGTCAAAATAAACATATATATAAAAATGTGAATAGAAGCAATAAATAATAATTAAGTCAATTTGGCTTATCAGTTAAGTTAACATCTTCAGAATAAAATTTACACAATTAGGAAAAGGAAAGAAAAAATTAATTATGCCAGCCCAGCTTGGTGAAAGAGGACGGTCTTAAGTGCCCGACGGAAAGCACGAAGATCTGGGATTATTCTTATCCCTGGGGGTATCCTGTTCCAAAGGGTAGGTGCCCCCACAGAGAAGGCTCTCCCCCTGGGAACCACCAGTTGACATTGCTTTAGTGATGGTACCCTGAGGAGGCCCACTCTGTGGGAGCGTACTGGTTGGTGGGAGGTTATAGGTTGCAGAAGGTTAATTTGTTACATTAATCAAACTTATATACTCCTAATATTAATGTACATGATTATTTTAAAGTAGTTATTCAATATTTCAATGTTCCATTCTAATGCTAATAATCTTAAACATACATAGTAATACCATCTTTCAACCTCTCATCTTCCCATATAATTATTACTTATATTCAATTTATATAGAAATTATATCTACTTAATATTCCCCCTTTTTATTATTTCTACCTCTATTCTTCTAGTCAGGTCACTCTTACTATTCCTTGTTTGTTTGTTTGTCAAAAACATAAGGTAACAGATATAAGTATAAACATGATTATGAATACAGGGTAAGAATACGAATACATGGGTACAGTAGGACAGGAACGGTAGGCACGTTGGTGCGCTTATGCACGCCCCTTACAGACCTCTTAGGAATGGGGTGAGGTCAATAGTTGACAGTCTAAGGTTAAAGTTATGGGGGTTTGGAAAAGTAACCACAGAGTCTGGTAGTGCATTCCAGGCATTGGCCACTGTTGCTGAAGTCATATTTTCTGCAATCAAGTTTGAAGCAGCTTACCTTAAGTTTGTATCTATTGTGTGCTCGTGTATTGTTGCGGTTGAAGCTGAAGTATTCATTGACAGATAAGATGTAGCAGATAATTTTGTGTACTACGTTTAGGTCAGACAGAACGCAGCATAGCTCTAAATTGTCTAAGCCCAAAATTTCCAGCCTGGTGGCATAAGGTATTCTGTTGTGAGCAGAGGAGTGGAGGACTCTTCTCGTGAAATATCTCAGGACTCACTCAATTGTATTAATGTCCGATATGCAGTGTGGATTCCATACAGATGAGCTGTATTCAAGAATTGGTCTAGCAAAGGTTTTGTATGCCTTAGTTTGCAGTACAATATTACCGGAGAAGAAGCTTCGTAAGATTAGGTTAACAACTCTTAATGCCTTTTTGGCAATGCTGTTGCAGTGACTCTTAATTAACTCTTAATTAATTAACTATTAATTTATTAATAAATTATTTGTCTTAATTAATTAATTATTAAGAATTATTTAACTCTTAATTAACTCTCAATTTATTAACTCTTAATGCCTTTTTGGCAATGCTGTTATACTGAGCTCTGGCACTTAGATCATTAGAGATGAATACTCCAAGGTCCTTGACAGAGTGAGGGTCGTATACGAGGTCGTATCCGCTCAGCTTGAATTTTGTGTTCTGATTTGTTTTGCCAATGTGTAAGACAGAGCGTTTGTTGGTTGAGATTTGGAGTTGCCAACTGTTTGACCATTCTGACACATATTAAAGTCTCTGTGTAGGTAGCAGCATTGTCGGTGGTGTTGAATAGTTTTACATCATCAGTGAAGAGAACGCAGCTGCTTATAATATGATTGCAAAGGTCATTTATGTAAAGTATAAAGAGTGTGGATCCTAAAATGCTGCCTTGGGGGCTGTTAACAGGTGCAGGGTTTGATAGGGCATTCCCTATTTTGACTACTTGTTGCCTGTTTGATAGGAACACAGCTAACCACTTTATGCAGGGATCCGGCTATGCCGTGAGATTTTAGTTTTAGAAGTAGTTTGTCATGTACCACTGAATCAAAGGCTTTACCGAAGTCCATATAAATTGCATCTATTGCTTTATCTTAGTCGAGTTGTGAAGTCCATATATTTTTGCAGTGTAAGAGTTGCAGATTGCTACTGTTAATACACATGTTTATGTTAACACACATGTTTATGTTAAGACATAGTCCTTTATATAAAGGTGTATATTCTTATTTCTACCTCTATTCTAGTTTTTAATCAGGCCATCATTATATTAGAAAAAAGAAGAAAGGAAAAAAATATTTTCTATCCATCATCTCTTGCCCGTTTTAATACTTCAATTCTTATTCGTTTTTTTGGCTTTCCTCCATACTCCTCTCTTGGATCTTTGACTCTGTCAACATTTGTATCTTCATTATTCTATCTAAACATTTCTCCCATCTCTATCCTTCTATACTGCCAGATCTCCAGAGTATCCACCCATTCCCCTATCTCTCTTTCAAAGACATCTTCCAGGCTATCCAATTCCATTTTTGTATCTCTCTTCTCATCGTCTTGTTTTGTTTGGTGATTTGTCTGTTCTATCTTTTTCTCCATTCTTTCTGCCGCCTCCTCTGTTTCCTGGACTCTTTGATCTTCATTCATTGTCAGTTGTATCATATTTTCTATTTTGCCACTTATGCCTTGGATTAAATTTTTTATCTTTCTGTGGTTCTTTGTCACGGTGTCCCTAATGCTTTGAAACATCCATGCCATTTCTCTTGAAATCTCACCCATTTCCCCCTGATAGAGCATCTTGTCTTAGTTTAATAAGTCCGCTTTTAGTCAAGGCCAAAAACAATATATTCAGCTCATCAGAGAGTTCAATAATCATAACTTTTTACATCTCAGGTTATTAATCAATTCCATTTAAGTATTCCAGGCAGTTTCTGCAAAACAAAAGTCGCTTTACTTTATTTAAGAGTCTTCCTTATTCTCACAATAGTAATTAATTATAGAACAGTTAGTATCGCCACAATCCTTCAAAAAAATGTTGCTTGTTTCTTCTGTCAGAATTTTCCTAGATTTGTAGGGGTGTAGTGTATTTCATTCACCAGTAGATGGCAGCACCAATAGGTTTCAGCTGTTTCAAGCGTGATAGATTAATTAATCCAAATTTAATTCAATTTATAGAGACAAAATTGAGTTCTTGATTTAATTGAGGTATATAGCTCCAGCATTTTATAATGCCTTTCCATAACAACACCTACTTAGTTTAAAATCCAATTTTGTATGGTTAAAAGGTCTTTAGCTTTTCTCCCCTTAGCTCCTTTCATTTAGGTCTAGGATTTTTCTCTCTATGGTTGTTCACTGCTTTAAAAAAGATAATTCTAAGAGTCTCTTCCTGGTTTTTCTTCTTTTTTCCTTTAAGTTTAGGGACTAAATGCAGAAAAAAGAATCTTCTCACCCAGCTCCAATCCCTGTTCATTTATACCGCTCCTGCACATTTCTTAGTTGTTTCTCGGCTGCCCCAGCTTTGCGGCAGCCATCTTTAGGTTGCCTCTTCTCATTGTGGTTGAGAGGGAAAAAAAACCCAGGTCAAGCAGGAGAGTTGCGACTCTCTGCGACCTTGCAGGGTACCCCTCTTTGCTTCGCCTCCCTTACAGGGTGGCTTTGACTCCTCTCGGAGCCCACCAATGGGGAGAACTCGGCACGGGAGCGCGGAGACCCACTCCTCGTGTCTGATCTTGCCACAAAGTCAGCCAGAGGTTTGACTCCTTGATAGCGATTGGATTCCCCATTCCCTGGATTTGCTAATGTTCAACGGACTTGTAGCCCTCCACTCAAAAACAGTGATGCACTCTGCTCGAGCTGAGGAAATCTGCGGTTACTGGAACACCAGATGGCTCTTCAGGTCCCCTCCAGCCCGGTATAATTCTTTGGCTGCTGGCAACTTCAAGGACTCTGGGTTCGCTGGGATTCTGAGGCTGCTCCCTGAGCCCACAGCTCCGCTGGTACCGATGGACTTCTCCATCTTCCCTAAGTCTTCCCACTGCCCAGTTTCCCAGGTAAGCATCGAGAGTTTAGGACCCTGGACAGCTGCCCTGCAAGCGCAGAGCTTCTTTATTGTTTTTATTCGGAGAGTCGGGTTAGTGTCAGGGTTCCAAATAACGCACCCAATGAAATCAAAACTCTGAGGCCTGAAGTTTCCTCAGAATAAACATTTATTAGGAATGCCATATTGGCACAGCTATGAAAAACCAATTCTGAAGGACCTGAGGTTTTCCCCACCCAAATCAAATCCCAAAGTTCTTGCCCCTAGGTCACACGTCC